GTGCATATATTATGTATAAGAGAGAGAGAGAGAGAGAGAGAGAGAGAAGCTTTACAAAATAATTGAAGGAAATGCATTTTGTAGGTCCAATTATGGAGCCCACCAAAGGAGAGAGAGGGCCCTTAACAATATGAGGGGAAAGAGTTCCCAAGAATGCAGGGAATGTGTTTCTTAAGAGCTGTATTAACTTTCTCATGTTGAATAATATACATGACTCATTAAATTAGCCTCCCACAATGTATGTGTGTGTGTGTGTAGGCATGCAACCTCCAGTCTCAATTCTTGTTTCACATCAATCATATAAGTATAAATTCCCATTTATGTTCCAATAAAAAAGTACAAGTATTGTTATCAATGTCCAAATAAAAATATTTGCCTCCTTTGGATGAGAATCCAGGTGAATGAACATAATTCGTAAAAGTATTTGTATCAGGTGATTCTTTTTAGGGTAAAGTTGACCATATTTATCATAATAAGTCCAAGAAATCTGCTTAAAGTTGACCATATTTATCATAATAAGTCGAAGAAGTAAATTGATAAACCATCCTAATTGTACTGAAGTTGAGCCCATTAGTTTTAAAGTATCATTCTAAACCAGTTAATACTTTAAAATGTTCCTTATACATATTTCGCCACATACTAGAAGCATCAAAACAGAGAATTATAAATTCACTAAGAAATAAAATATGACATCCTCTACATAATGTGGAGTCATATTGGATGCACCATGCATATTGTTTTAAGGTAAAATGATGTAAAACGTTTAGCCATATTACTGTCAACTGCATAAAATCTTGATTTTTCAAGTTTGTATGATGGGTACTGGAATTCTAAATGAAAATAACCATTTCCATACCAATAAACATAAGCAGGAATGACATATAGAACCACCAAGAGAAAATAAATAGCCGATATTGAACTACCTCATTTAGGAAAGAAACATCCCAAAGCAAGTTAATACCAGCGATAATCAAGTCGCTTAGAATGATCAATAACAAGAATCCACAGCATCAAGACATACATCAACCACCTATGTACTTCATCTTAAAGCAGAACAAAGCAGAACACAACAATCCATGGTTATTACTAAATTTTCCTAGCAAAAGCTGGATCAAAAGTACAAAGCCTCGTAATGTGTGTGCAGCACATGGTTAATGTCTCCCTTTGTCACAACAAACCAAATGAACAACAGCAGGAGCAAAACCATTGACCGTCAGTAATCCAGTGATAGGACAACATGCTCTTCCTAAAAGGTTTCAAAGTCAATTTAAGCACTAAGTAACAGGCAGGATGAAGCCTCAACAGCCAGTTGCACAAGATAAAAGTACCTTTTGTCCTTTAAAAGAACAATAATGCCTGCAGCCTCAGTTGGAGACAGTGGCCCACATGATGGAGACTGTGGGCGGTCCAAAGCAGCAGACATTGAACTATTCGGCGTGGAGGGACGGGAAGAATTCGGTGATGAGCTTGATGACGAAAGCCATGGTTGTGTGGGAATCGCTGTTTGGGGTTGTTCTTGTGCTCCCCTACATAGTGCAAGCGTTTAGCATTTTAAAGTAATAAATAGATAAATAGATAAAATACAACTTAGATTTCTGTAATTACAAAAATGGCCAGCTTCTTGAAATGTCAATATGCAGCAGAATTTACATCTATACATGTAGATTTATATGACTAACCAGTAAAACATGAGCGTAAAAACATTATATAAGCACACAATAATGGACTTATTAATATGCACACATATACCTAGATAGACAGATCATGCATGTGTGAGCAAGTGCAAGATGGAGGACCAGCTAGCAGTACAGACTAATAAATAGATAAACAGACAACCAGAAGTATTGATAAGTCATTTATAGACATGCAGATGGATAGATACATGTTTGAAGGCACATATTTGTATCCACATTTTTGCATGCGCACGCAATGGTTGTCTGAGTGTATGGATTTCATGTGTTTCATATGCACAAGGACAGATCATGCATGGATCTCCTTTCTCTGAGACGTTCAGCTGACTTCCCATTATTCCACATTAGAACATTACAAGCTTTCTACCAGTATGCTTGAACCATTTTAAGATAACACTTTTAAACGGTTATAAGGCTTTACAGGAGAAGGTAGACCTTCATGCCCTATGATGCATGGACACAGTTGTGGACATGGCTAAAACATTAAAAAGTTGTGATTTGGCATACATTAGTGTAAGGCCCGACACAGACATTACACCCCCTTTAGAGTATCCATGCATCAAAGCTCATGCCCATGTTCACACAGATTTGTTACAGCGAATTTCATGAAAGGTGCCACTCTTGCATATGGGGTTAAAACAGGTATCTCTAAATTTTTTTAACTCACAAAACGGCAGCACTTTGGGTGTGTGTTCACACCTAAAGGGGGGTTAAAATGTGGCATCCAGAGATGCCAACTAAACCCATCCAATCTATCACCTAAAAGTAATGCCAAGGACGCATATTGAAGTGGCATCCAGAAAAAGCCTTCCAAATTAAAATGACCTATGGAACTTAAAAGATTTTAAGCATACTCAGATCTTCGAATAATAGCTATAGAGCAGCAAGATATGATGCACTAGGTGCAGCTTCCTGCTAGCACAGAAGGATTTCAACCGAATGCCATTCCTGAATCCTGATGTTTCAGATTAATGACCATCCAAAATCCCATCCTCATAAACTCAAAAAAATCTGGCTAGCAGAAATTTCATTATATTACTCTACAAGACCTCATACAAAGATGTCATAAGAGTAAGCCTGAGGTCATTGGGGACTCAGATCAACACAATCCTATGCTTTCCTTAAGTAAAAACCATCAAATCAAACAGCCAAGAATTCCTCCCTCTCTACGTCAAGGTCCCTTCTCTAGAAGTCACTATAGGAAATCAGCTTCATGACCTTAATTTCTAAACACATTTGCTTTCAGAAGAAATCATTCTGCTGAAACTGAGTTCCTTCAGCATTCACCCATCCTGATTTAGCAAATCTTCACATTATTTGCAAGCATAAACCTCAATTGAACTCCTCTGTAAAGGACCAAATCCACTGCCCTCACATGCTTACAAACTTCCAAAAGCTTCTAGTACTCATCCTGTCATCAATGACCTTGTGGCCCATGCTTACAAACTTCCAAAAGATTGCATTCAATTCAATGCCTCATTCTTTTATAGTTAGATACCACAATCATCCTTGATAAAAAGGTACGATAATCATCCAGGTAGCAAATAAAGCTACTTTATTACAATTGGAAACACCTTATGCACCTAAATTTAGTCCATACACCAGATTCAGTTTCATAAAATGGATTCTTCCTATTTAAGGACCGCCACTCCAAGAGAAATATGCTCAACTCTTTTCCATTTCACAAAGCTGCAGCAAGGAGTGGAGGAGGGCTAAAGAGATATCAGAGTAATATTTCGACATAAAATAAAGTATTTTTTTCTTTGACCCCAACCTCTCCTTGGCCTTCTCCAAAGATGCTCCCACAACTATTCTCTACGAGCACCCAAAGATAAAAAACAGCCCTACTTATTCTCTAGCCATATGATCTACAACACCAGTGACCACTCTAAGGCCCATCATTTTTGTCATATTTAGTTCCAGCACCTCCCAAAAAGTGCCTTAAATGAACCTTAAGGCCACAGCATCCAAAAAACATATCACAAGCGACTAACGTATCACCTACAAAGTGTACTGTACCCCACAAATTTTAACTTAACATGTTCGTCAATTAGTGTTACACAGAGGAAAACCTTCAATAAAACCGAACTTGCCAACCACCCAAAAGCGTGCTTAAATATTTGATCATTAAAGCAAATAGGAAAGGCAAAGACTGGTCCAGTATCGAAGGCAACTAGGAAAATGAAAGAGTTTTCAAGGCCCATATTGTTGATAAATAAGAAAGAAGAAGAAACCAAGACATCCACCAAAGCTCCCAAACTCCACTTAATCATGACATAACACAAATTTCAGATCCACATAAGAGTAAACTCTTTTACTTTTGTCACATGAAGTAAGACTTTTCAAAATTACACCATGAAAAATTCCAGATTTCCCACACCAAGTCCTAAGATATGAAAGCTGTGGTAGCATCTTTGGAGAATTACGAAAGAAGTAATAGAGGACTTGAGCAATAATGTCATCAATACCACAAAAACCAAATATTCCATCCATTCCAATCCCATGATTTAGGTCCAAAAAGAAACTTAAAGAAAAAACAAAAAAAAAGAATATTATGCACTAGCTCGCTACCCAATACATCCCCAAATTTCGTAAACAATACATTAGATAGTTATTTAGACTTGCCATGTTGATCATTGCACTAGATCTTGAAGGAATGACACCCATAATTCCTAATTTGCATTTCCTAGTCTTCTTTCCCACTCTCATTATTTCATCTCCCTAATATAACTTAGTTGGCCGGACATTTTCTCCCTGTTGAGAAAAGAGGGATACAAGATTTTTAGTATAATATAAGAGTCCTTTCATACTCATTAACCTGTATCATATGCCACCTTCATAAAGTACATACATCAGTGATTTAAAAAGCGGACTACCCAGCGCCTGGGCAGCAGCCTAGGCAGCCTAGAAGACATGGGTGCATCGCTTAGGCCTAGGAGGCCAAAATAGGCAGGATAGGCAGATATCCCTGGGCAGGCCCGCCCAAGGCCCACTCATGGAGAGTATATTTGGTCATTGTTTTAATACTAAAGGGAAAAATTGTAGGATTTAGGTTCATTTGAAACCTAAAACCCATTAGAGCCTATTTTAGAGAGAGAGAAAAACCTTCAAACACTAGTTTTTGGTGATTTCTATAGAATTGAAGGGTTTCTCAAAGTTATGAGAAATTGATCTAAACATCACTCATTAGTATTACATTTAATTTTGGATGTTTTATAAATCTATTGGCTGCCCAAGTTCTAGGTGCTTGCCTGGGCGCCTGCCTAGGTGCTGGGCGGCCTGGACCCCCGGCCGCTTAGGCGTCACCTAGCGCTTTTTGAAACACTGACATACATTCACAAAAACTTCGACTTCTAATAATGCCTAGTGTAGTATATGTTACGGAGCAGTTATAAATAATGAATAATAAAAAATAACATAGTGAGTTCTAACATCGATGATTTGTCAGACAACCATTGTTAAGTATACCTTGCTAATTATCAAGTAACAAGCCTAATCTACTAAAGCGTCAACTCAATATCTAGCAATTAATAGTTGACAATCATATAATAACCCCTTACTCATCACTGACACAAAAAAAAACAAGGAGATGAAATAATTGTTGAACAATTTTGTGTTCTGCTTCTCATCAATCTGTGAAGACAAAACTTTAATGGTTGAAATAAAAATTATTATATGAAAAGAAGGTCCAACCTACTGTAGATATTATAAATCAAACAAGGGAGGAATTCATTCAACAGAAAACATATTCAGTAATCTAAAACTAGAGAAATTTGTCTGTCAAAAAAAGAGAATACAAAAATTTGTGTTACATCTATGACTAACAAAAAATACTAAAAATAAGAGATGAGCAAGAACTATGTAATTCTTAGAGTTACATATAAGCTATAAGACTAATCAGAAAAAGAATACAGATGATGAATCCATGATCCCCCTATATAATAACTAAAAAAAACCCTTTATGGACATGGACTTAATCCCATATAACACAGAATGGTCGAAATATTCATTGAACAAACAAGGAAAACCATAAAACCTGAGAAAATAACAAGGTACCTAAATCTCATTTACATTTGACAGACCCAAAAACAATCAGTAACAGTGAAATCAGAATAGACCCACTCAATTAGGTCCTAATGTACAAATAAACACAAGACCAAAACCACAATTAATCCCACTTCTCAGGAAATAGAACCAAAGTTGGAAGAAAAAGTAGATAGCATGCGCAGATCCACCTGATAAAACAAACCACAATTTCTCTTATGAGGAATGAAGAGAAAGAAAAGGTCACAAGCGTACCAGAATTTGAACATTGCTAACGGATCAGGCAGAACGCTTCAAATCCAAATACCACCAAATCAGATAGCCAAAGAGGAGGGCCAATACCTAAATCCACAAACCACAGCAAAGGGCCAATACCTAAATCCACAAACCACAGCAAAGGGCCAATACTCAAATCCACAAATCACAGCAAAGCTTTTATTTTTATTTCGAAAAAACAGATAAATCAACGCACAAGACAAGAACCCTCCTCGCTATTTCAAAAACTCGCGTTATGAATGTCGTCGTAAGGTTTCCTTTCGCGTCGTAAATAACGATCCCGCTTTGCTTTAATATTCATCGATCCCTTTCATTCGAAGATATACCTATCAGTCATCATTTTCACACGCTTTCTCTCACGCGTAGCGAGGCAAGTTAAGGCCATTGTTTTGACTAAGCGCATGTAGCGTGTCCCCGAGGGAACATAATGCGCATTTTTTCCCTCGGGGGAAAACGTGTGGCGATGGGCAGCACTTGAACAAGCTAGCCCTAGTCCTTACAGGACTAGTCCAAGCCTCGCCCAATCCTAACAGGGCCAAAGAGGTTTTAGCCTTTGGTTAATTAAAATTGATTGGAATAAGACTTCTACCATGACCCCGCCCCCTGACCCCTCGTTGTACAAGATGGAGGGCAACAGCGTGCGGGACCGCGACGTGAGGTGGAAAACGTCACTCAGGTGAGAGTGGCTCAACGCTTATAAAAGGTGGTAACAAGAGCAAATCACGAAAGAAAATAAAATCATTTCATCAATAACAGAGATGTAACCAAACTACAAAGTCATTCCCATATACAATCATTCTCTAAAATTTCTTTACAAATAGTTCAAGGCACTAATGGCCCACAAAATACAAGATAAACATCAACCAACAGCTAAGTGGCACCTCCACCAACACCTACTAAAGGAAATTTCCCAAATCTCTTCACCAACTCCAAACTTTCTTCACCCCAATGCACCGATCAACTGCCCTCTCCCCTAGAGGGTCAGAATTATCACTCTACAAGGATGGAAATGAAGGGAATGAGCTAACAACCCAGTAAGTAGATCTACACCATTTACACATGTATAAATAGAATTTTCACTATTCATGCCCTTTGGTACTTTAACAGCATAAGAGTAAATATAATTCAATTATCAGGAACATGCAATGCATAAGTCATAAGCCATTTTATCTTTATCAAAACAGTAGGGCCGACAGTTTACAATTCACATAATAGAGCTAGAGAAGCCTACTCCTGAAGTAAAAGTTCCATCGCTCTGGTTAAGCCAATCCTGTAGCTTGGAACCTCTACCCTCATTTAGGAGGGAGGACAATGACAAGTGGGTTACCCACTTCATACTATCCTCACACACACACACGTCCCCAGCACTCTTTGGGCTTTTCGATAGGCGGTGGCCTTTCAAGATACCACCCTCTCCTTAAGCCTTTCTGGTGAGAGGGCGTTACACTACCATTGGGTGACCCAATGCATAGTGCCCATAACATTTGGGGGCAGTGACCCACCCTATTACTCAGTTTTATCTCCCGACCTCAATCCTATCATTGAGGTTGAGATATATTCAACAGTTGTCGACATAATAGTATCCAACTGGCAATGAGTACTCCATTACGTAGTAGTTAGTGTCACGGTATAATAATATCACAATGTTTCTTAGTATGATAGTACCAACTACCAATAGGTGTCCCATTGCGTAGTGGTCAGTATCGTCATAAATCACAGTATAGCAGTATCATAGTATGTCACAACACGACTGTACCAACCACCAATGGGCATCCCATTGCATAGTGGTCGGTATCACAAATGGCTTATGGTATCAGCATCACAGTATCAGTATCACAGTATCGATATCATAGTATCAGTATCACAGTATCGGTATCATAGTATCACCATATCAGTATCACAGTATTAATATCACAATATCACAATATCGGTATCACAATATCTATATCATAGTATCACATTATCGATATCACAATATCACAGTATCGATATCACAGTATCACTTCTTCTGCAATTTCAGGTAGCGACATCATGTTATAAAGAGGGATGTAACTTCTGATCAGTTCAGAATTCGAAGATGATTCCAAAACCAATTTTACAATAGACATGACATGAATATCTTTCAAATGGAGGTAATTTGAAAGCGTTTGAACCTCGTTTGGCCCTTCAAAATCTTAGTAGAGTGGAGGTATACCATCTGAAATCTGTTGTGCAGTTGAGACAGTGGCTTGTCCTATCCAGTACGATTATAAATCCCAATCCATACAATATTTTAAAATGATTTTAAAACCAAAGTTTAATTAAAAGTGCATGTCTTTCCATCAGGGCAGTTTGAACGTATTTGGACTCCATTTGGTTATTCAAAGGTTCGTGACAACAAGGTGACAGTTTTGAGAGTCGAGTGGACTCCGCCAACAGTGACCTATCCTCACAAATTTATGCATAACTTTCAATCTAGAAAGAATATCTGAATAAATCCAACATGCAACTTTAAACACACACATATATCTTTCAAATGGTTGTGTTTCGAAGGTAATTGGGCCTCATGTGGTTAATCAAAACCCATGGCAATAGTGACGACTATTAGAAATTTCGATGAGGTCCGTTAACAATGATATAGTGCACATTTTAAAGCACAACTTCTCTTTTGCAGGGAATTTGAACAATGTTTAAACATTAACATTTTAGTAGACTCAAATATCTTTCCAATGGCAATAATTTGAAGTCATTTGAACCTCATTTGATTGTCCAAAAGCATATTACAAAATCATGAATGTTCCTAGAAATTTGTAGTGTCACAAGGCATGCTTCAAAGGATACTGAATAACTTTCAATTCACAATAGGCATTCTCATGCAATCTTTTCCATTTTACTTTAGGCATACATATATACTTTTCTATAGATTTTTGTGGGCAATAAGCTCATTCTCAACACTAAAACCCCCCATACAACAGAGGCATTAGTTTAGTGAAATATTGCTTAAAAGTCTCTACTATACACTCATTTCTATCACCCATCTCATGCTTGTAAGTATTTAATTTTGTGCTTCTACAAACTTGGTGAAATGGTGGTCGATCCACTTACGTAGTGTGCAAAGATGCCTCCAAAGCTTCCTCTCATGGTCACTTCAAGCTTCTTACAATGGTTTTTCAATGGAGTCATAGTGGGCTTTAAGTGTTGGGCACTTAGAGAGAGATAGAGAGAGAGTGGATGGCAGTGGGGGGGTGGGGGGGTTTGGGGGGAGAGAGGGCTTAAGTATTCCCAATGTGAGTAGGTGGGTAACATTGTGGCTGATCATATACGGTTCTAACGTGCGCAGCTCTAACATGTACGACATTGACGAATACGTCTCTAACACGCACGACAGTGGTATGGCTCACCCTCACTATTGCACGCTCTTACTGCCGCGCACACTTTCTTTGCCATGCACATTCTCACTGCCACACGCACTTTCACTGTCGCTCGCTTTCTCACTGCCGCGTGCATTTTCATTGTCGTACGCTCTTGCTGCCAAGCGCACTTTCACTACCATGCGCTTTCTCACTACTGCGAGCTTTCTCAATGCCGCGCGCTTTCTCACTGCCGCGAGCTCACGCTGTCGTGCGCTCTCGTTGTCGCACGCTTTCTCACTACCATGCGCTTTCTTACGCCGAGAAAATCTCTGTCGGTACATCACCCCCCCTTAAAAGGGATTTTGTCTTCAAAATCGTCAGTTAATCAAATAGATGGGGGTATCTATCCCCGATCTCATTCTCCCGTTCCCATGTTGATTCTTCTCTTGAATGATACTGCCACAACACACGAATGAGAGGGATTTCTTTATTGTGCAAAACCTGCACCCTCATGTCTAGTATTTCAATTGATCTCTCGTCATAGGTCAAATCTTCTCTAATAGGGATTGGCTCATACTTCAAGACATGGGAAGGTCCAGCTGATATTTTCTCAATAGTGAAACGTGAAAAACGTCATGAATGTTAGCCAACTTGGGTGGTAGGGCCAGTCAGTAAGCCACAACTCCGATTCTTTCTAAAATTTCAAAGGGTTCAATAAATCACGGACTCAGTTTTCCCTTCTTGCCAAATCTCATAATGCCCTTAGTTGGCGATACTTTCAAGAATACCCGATCACGCACTTCAAATTCGAGGTCTTTTTTACGATGATCGGCATAACTTTTCTGTCGACTTTGGGCTGTTTTGAGCCTTTCTTGAATTAAGGTAATATTTTCTGATGTTATTTGGGCAATTTCTGGCCCTAGCAGTCTCCTTTCACGAACTTTGTCCCAACGCACTGGTGATATGCCCTTCCTCCCATACAGGACCTCAAAAGGTGTCATCTGAGTACTGACTTGAAAACTATTGTTATATACAAACTCTATTAGAGGAAAGTGATAATCCCAGCTTCCTTTAAAATCAGTAACATAGGCCCTTAACATATCTTCCAGGATCTGAATAGTCATTTCAGACTGTTCGTAAGTCTGGGGGTGGAAAGCAGTACTAAAAGTGAGTTTTGTCCCCAAGGCTGATTGCAGACTAATCCAAAATCTTGAAGTAAATCTCGAATCCGTGTCGGACACAATGCTAACATGTACTCCATGTAGTCTTATTATCTATTTGATGCACTAGGCCGAATGAGTCCTTTATCAAATAACTGCCACATTTGTTCTTTCAGCTCCTTTAGCTCTGCTGGGGCCATTATGTAAGGGGCTTTGGAAATGGGAGTAGTACCAAGGGCCACTTCTATTTCGAATTCTATCTCCCTCACTAGGGGTAAAGAGGTCAACTCTTCAAGAAAAACTTCAAGATATTCCCTCACCACCAGTATCTCCTCTAACTTAGGCTGGACATCCTAATTCTCTATCACATAGGCCAAGTACCCAACACATCCTTTAGCCAACATGTGGGAAGCCCGGAGGGCCGAATAAGGTGTAGAGGAGAAACGTCCTTAATGCTCATAAAGTTTAATTCAAGCTTATTCGGGCATCTAAAGGTTACAATTTTATCATGGCGGTTCACTGTAGCATGGTGTGTAGATAGCCAGTCCATGCCCAAAATGATATCAAAGTCTTCGATGTCTAAGAGTATCAAGTCTATAGATAACATATGCACCTCAAGCACAACCCCATAATGTTTATATACGATGTCAGTTTCAAAAGATTCTCCCATAGGTGTGCATACAACCAAAGTCAAATCAAGCTGCTCAGGTTTAACATTCATATGGCATGCAAAATGTCATGCAACAAAAGAGTGGGAAGATCCAGGATCAATTAAAACTCTTTCTTCAATTCCACGAACAGATAACGTACCTCG